TTAAAAAAAAGTTTTAGGAAAAAAATGCATATTTGATGACTGCAGTAAGCTATATAGCCCCAGCTAGGTGCTACTTTATAGTATGTTCATTCTACTCACTGAGGTTTATGCCTAAAGTCAGACTTGTGTTCATGGATATGTATATATCAGTTGTGCTTGCTATTGGAAATATTTCGATTAATTATTAGCAAATCAGTAAAATGGGTGAAGAAAGCATAGCAAGCAACCATGGATATAGAGACAGTGTGGGAGGAGAGTGGGACACGGCAGATGGTGAGAGATAGGGAATCAAGGATGGCAAAAAAAAGCAAAATATACAGGAAACAAGAAATGGAAAATTATTTGTTGACGATAACGCGTAAGTTGATGTGTTTGAATGAGCCAATATACAGTGTATTCTGAATGGGAAATCTCATTTTGTATGCTGTAATGATGTATGGTGAATGAATATAAATAAGTAAATTTAAATAAAAAAAAGAAAAAAAGAAGTGTAGGGGTATATATTTAATGAAAATCAGATCTGGGATTTGAGTTGCAGTTGAGTACTTGGGAGTCCAGCAGCGTAACCATTATGCTATCTGCTGGTCCCCAGAAATGACTAATTTTCTTTTCTTCTTTTTTTTCTGGAGAGGTTTTTGCTATAGCGCACGTGTGTTCCCCAGAAAGACAGAGAGAGACAGAAGGTGAGAAATCACCCTCCCCAGGGGGGATGGCCATGCCACAATCCCTTCTCCATTCTCCTCTCAGGATATTGGGCACACACGCACATGTGCCTACTGTGAATTTAAGCCACTGGGTCTGGGACTCGAATCGTGGTCGACTACATGGGAGTCCAGTGACACAGCCATTATGCCAACTGCTGGTCCTGAAATGATTTATTTTCTAGCACAAATAGCCACACAAGATTTTTACATCTTTCATAGAAAATCATCCATATGGAATAAAAAGGATTAATGAAATAGAATTGACTTCTGATTGATGTCTACTTGACAGAATTTATTTGCATGCTTATAGGCAAAACATGTTTTACATTGCTATCAGTTTTCTATAATTCTGAGTTTTAACGAGCTCAGAGGCAACCAAAATCTAGATTTCAGCTAATCAGGAAGGGTCTGTTTTAAGCAACATTATGATCTCATTGGTGACACCTCAGTACTCTGTGGTATTTATTCTAATTATCCTTACAACAATTAGGACAATGTCCAGTAGCCTCAATTAAAACCAGGCATTACTACTTGCGAACTCATACTTTTCTGACTTTTAATTATAAGAACTGAAATATAGTGAATTCAAATTTATATAGTAGTTGAATGTCTTCAGTTGGTAGAAGTGTTATGTCTTTTTAACCTGTTAATAAATTGTAAAAGTGGTCTAAATCAAATTCTATTCTGTGGCATGAAGATTCCATTGACTTTGCTTAGAGCCATTTTACAAAATGTTCTTCATAGCCTCCTTTAACTCCTTCTCTTTTGTTTTGTTCTCTTACATAGTATTCTACAGACTCCTTAGCTGATTCTCAATTGTTTTTAGTTCTTCATTTTCAAGCTTTAACCAGAGGTTCCTTTCAGATAAATCATCTACTGAATTAGACACTGTGTCCCGTGTCAGGCAGGGGAGAGTAATGAGAGGGGAGTTATTTATGCTAAAGATGTTTCAACTTACATTCTATTTTCGTTTAAAAAAATAAAACTAATTTGGTGAAGATGTGACACCTCAAGACTAAGATGTCTAAGAGGCATTGAGGATGCTTACACACGAGAGCTCAAAAGTACCACCAGGACTGGTTTCTTTCTCCTTGTATACACCATATCTGGAGCTTCATCAGGAGACCAGATGGATTTTATAGGACCAGGAACTACACTCTTTTAGAGTTATTTCCCCCTTACTGTTGATCATTGTTTGGGTATCAATTTCCAAGTCTATAGGGTTTTTTGGTTTGTTTTCTTTCCCCCCTGTACTTCAAAATAGATTGTCACTGTCTCTTGATTTTTATGCTGTTTTTGAGAAGTCTGCTAAACAATATATGTATAATCCCTTGAAAATATTATCTGCCTTTTCTCCTTGAATACTTATTATTAGTATTATTTACAGTTTCTTTTATTAAAGAGATAGAAACAAAGGTGGGTACTCCTTACAGGGTCCTTATGCTGTGATCTGGTCCCAGGTGGCACAGATCACGGGCACGTGTGTACGTGCTAGTGTGCACTGGAGATCCTGGAAAGCAAAACCAGAATCTAGCCATGTGGGTTCAGTTGTATAATCACTGCTCAACAACCTGGTCTCTATTTCTTCTTTATAGGTGTTGGTCAGTCTATAATGTGTCTAGATACCGATTTCTTTTCTTCTCCCTGCTTTAGATTTACATGTCTTTAAGAATTCATGATTCATATCCTTTTAAATAAATCTAGAGAGCACTAAACCATTATCGCTGCAGGGACACAGTGGTGCAAGGGAGAGTAGGCCCAGGACCCACAGGGGGACATGACTTCTTGTCTCATGCTTAGAGATTCAGAGACGTAGACACGGACAAGGGATAGCTAGTAGAGTTTATTAAAAGGTGAAAGGAAAAACAGATCTCCTTAGCAGGGAGTAGGTCCCAGAGAGTAGGTTGCCAAGAGCAAAGGAATATGGTGACTGGGAGAAGACAGTAATTGGGGAGGGGGAGGTTCAAACCAATAAAAAGGGGTAGGGGAAAATTAATAGTC